GTCGTAAAAAAAAAAGAATATGGTAAAATCATTGTGCAAAACTTTTTAAATGCAACGCACAGTATTATTCCTTTTATTTTCAGGTAAGAGAGCATAGCCAGTCAGCAAAAGGACAGACTGAGACAGCAGATGAGGTTCAGTTGGAGACACAAGTCTTGCATTAAACCAAATACCTAAAATCTGACTTTTAACAGGTTGATGTAATTCCAAAACCACATTATTAATTTAAATCTGGATTAAATACTACATGGAAATATGGCCATGAAGGCACTTGTTCATGCACTTCATGCTATAGAGTGATATCACTCCCTGTCACTGTCTCTTAGTTGCTGTCCTGCATTGTTACCCTGCCACATGTTTGTGTTGTGAGAGCATGTGCTGCTTTCACCATTAGGAAGCCAGCCCTACGCAATGATGTGCAGCTGCCATTGGGGTGAGTGGATGTAGACAAAAAATGGCTAAAGGGTGCTGGAAAAGATCAGCACTGCAACTCTGAGATGAGAAAAAGAAAAAGCAAAAACAATAAATTCTAAAACAAAAAAAATCAAGGGAATTGGCTGTGCTGTACACTGTGCATTAGAAAACCAAATGTCATCCAGTAAGGCTTTATATCTACTTTAAGTCTTGTAACATCCTTGATAAATTGTAATGTTAACAAGATACAGTAACTAGTGGAATACCACATTGTAGGAAGTTGCAGTAGGCCAGAAAATCCATATTGAGGACGTGAACTAGGACTTTGACAGTCCTCTGTTTTGAGGTACTGCAAAAGGGAAATAAATGGGACACATTGGCAGAGAGGTATCAGGGAGCAGTTTGGAATGTGAAGAAGAGATGCCAAACCAAAGCAAACGGTTTAAAGGCAGTTCAAAATGATAAACCACATTGGAAATGTAAAGTATATCTAAATAGCATCTATATACTGGTGGTATGAAATACCATAAAAAGAGACTGTATTATCAAGAGTTTGGGGGAAGAAAAAGAACAGCACTGGTCTTAAGGATTCAGCCTAGAGCTGAGATCAAAGTAGACAAACAGAAAAAAAGCAATCCTTTGAAATTGCTCTGAGGAAGTCTTCTGCCACCTTAATAAGAGTAGACATCAAGAGGATAAGTTGGGTGGAAGCTAGAAAATGGAGAAAGATCAAGCTAGAGTTACTTCAGTATAGGTGACACAATTTTATACAGTATGTGAAGGTATAGGGCAAGATGCCTGTAGAGAGGGAGAGGATCAAAAGGTAGGTCAATAAAGGGGTTAGAGTTAGACATGTAAGCTGGCAAAAAAATTGTTTCGTTTTGTTATTTAATTTTTTGGGATTCGAGTCTGAAAGTCAATTCATTTCGGCATTCGGATTCGGGTGAATCCAAATTTCGTTAATTTTGGGGGAGTTAAATGATCATTACAAACTAAAATTAGTTGCACTAAAGTGACATTACATGTTTACTTTGTTTCTTTTTATTTCTGACACCACAAAAAAAAAAAAAAACAGCATGGCTCCCCTTCCCCCCCCCAATTCATACCAGACCCTTTAGGTCTGGCAAGAATGTTAGGGGGACCCTGATGAAAAAAAAACAGCGTGCGGTTTCCCGGCAATTACTACCAGGCCGTTGGAAAAGCACCTTGTCCCCATGCCGACAGGGACAAGCGCCTCCTCCTCACAACCCTTACAGAATGGCTATTGCTCCAGCAGAGGCCTGCTCCTCTGTGACTGACATCAGGCAGTGGGCGAAGCATTAGCCAGCCTGCTATTAAGTGTTTCAAATGTAAATAGCCAATAGCAGGCTTTGTTTACTTCTGCCCACTGCCCAATGTAAACATTGCATCAGGGAGTTTTTTTGTTTTTTTCTCAATTGTCGGGCGACTCTGGAATGACTTAATTTGAAATTTTTACAAAAACTGTAAATAAAGGAATTGTCAAAAGTGTGTGCTTTGTTTTTTTGTTCAATTAAAGGAATTTTATTTCTAAGGTGCTGCTGTGTTTATTTGCATTTTATTTAACCCTTTAGTGAATGAGAAGGGGTACAAGTACCCCTTACTCATTCACAAGGGGGGTGGCATCTGGGTGCCCCATTTATGAAAGGGGGTACCCAGATGCAGATGACCCCCCCTGCACACAGACCCCACAACCACTGGGTCAGGGTTGTGGGGAAGATGTATCCGAATTTCGTTATCAAACATTCAGATTCCTTCAGATTCGTTATTTCTGTCATTCAGACATTCGGATGCATCCGAATGTCTGAATTTACAGAAATTCGTACGAATTTAATTCCTGAACGAAACAAATTTTACATGTCTAGTTAAAAGTAGAGGAGCAGTGCTACAAAAAGGTATTGGACTGAGAATACAGGTTGTAGCAGTAGATGATAGGTTATACTTTTTTTTTTTTCACAATTATTATTATTACATAATATTTAATTAGAAGTAGTTTGCTACATCTTCCAGGGTGAAATCTTTAGGGGGCAGGAGAAGTCCAATTTGGGAGGAAGTTAAATCAAAGAGTTGATAATTTGAGGTTTAGGAAGATACAAGTATGGCAGAGTAATTTTGTTTAGATATGCTGAGTTCAGTAAAGTAATTATGTTTTCCTAGTAGTCATCTGCCCATAGACCACGTTTCTTACATTATAAAGGGTTAATTGAGGGTACTTCAAAGGGGAGAATATGTGGAAGCCAGGAAGCAAAACTGTCCAGAAAACAGGAAAGTGTGGCCAGGTGACAGCATTAAAATGAGAAGACAAAAAAAAATTGACATTTTGCCTGGACTATGAAGGAGGAGTAAGTCAGATAAGGCGTACAAGTGAAGCCACAATAAGTGCAGTGTACACAGATTAAGAGCTCTACACCTGCAGCAAGATGTTTGAATAAAATACAAGAACCAGAACAACGGTGTTGCAGCAAATTTAGTGTCATAGAGCAGTTAGGTTTCAGTGTTCTAGTGTTGTGAGACTTGAGAACCATCTCAAGATCATGGATAAAGGTTAGGTAATCCACAATGCACAAAAAGCACCAGAGAAACAAAGGTAAAGGGATAAAAAAAAGGCTAGTAATTGATGTAAAAGAAAGAGTTAGACGGTATAAGTTCAATTTATGTGCTAGGTACCATATAAGTGAAACATGCAAGTCATTGTTAAAATTCAAGCTAAAAGAAATCTATACACCTAAAATCAGTTGTCCATAAATGTATCAGCCAATGGTATCATGTTTTATTTATCATATTTGGAATTATATGTGACTGTAATGACTTCACACAAGTGCATTGTTATTGCACTTATCCTTTTCTATTATTCTTCTTCAGCATTTTCAATATAGAGTATACTTACTTTCAACAATGCTGTCTGGAGATCTTCACAGTGTGGACCTCCTGGCAGTGCACAGCCTTTTGGTAAAATCTACAGAATCATCCAAAATGTACTCATACACACCATCGTCTCCATTCCCTTCAATTATTAGTCCATCCACAGCTAGACAGGCTTTTCTATATGTATATGTATATGAAGACCATGGTGTGCATGAGCAAGACAGCACCTTGGGAATAGAGGCTTTGTGGCACTAGCTAGGCAGCTCAGTGAAGATCAAGAAGTCAAGAAGCAAAACATGAATAAAAGAAAAGGTTTAATTTAATGTAATCATTTAACTAGGTACTTACATGCCTGATAGGCAATGGGCAGCAGTCATTAGAAATTGGGGGGCAACAAGAGATCCTCCACAGAAATGCTGGCCCCTGAATTGTAGGGAGGCAATATAAGGATGTGAGTTGGGTCTGGCCTCCCTACCCCCAACAATTTCAGTTCTATAGGATCCTAAGGAGAAATGTTAGAAATATAATGAAATCCAAGCCTAAGTGCGTGTAAACATGTCTAACGACAAAAACGAGGAACATCTAAACACAGGAAAAAGTGATCTCGGAAGCATAACAGCTGTTTATACTTCCCAGATAACTACCAAATAACACAGGCAGCCCATGTGCATGAGGCATGTGCATGTGCATTGATTCATAATAAGATAATGCATGCCTTATTTCTATTACTGCACATTATTTTCTAATTTTAACGTATGTGTTCCTGCATGCACATTACATTACCAGTTTTACAGTTATTTGTAATGAAAGATTTATTAACAGATATTGTTGCAAATTAATTATCTCACATAAAATATCACTAGCCGGTGTTAACAGTAGGTTTCAGTGAGGTGTCTGCTGAGAAGAGCAGAAACAAGATAAAGAGATAGAGATACAATAACACTTCCTGAAATAAATAACGGGCTTTCACCAGTAATATAGTTCATATAATGTGGAAAAATAAAAGTTTCACACCAATGCATTATTTAATTTTGTAAATTGAACACATTGATGTGAATATGATCATGAGATACACTAATAAATCCATGTAAAATCAAAAAATGTGAATTTTGGATTGACACGGATGTGAGATTCTTGACAATGCATTTGAATTTACTTTGCATCGTAATTAATTTAATGATAAAATAATGATCTTTATTTACACAATAATGTCATGCTACAGCCGTTTAGGGGCTGCAAAAACTGTGTACATGCAGTGTTCCATCATTAGGTTAACTGATGGGAACTAAAATGTATTCCACCTCTGGAAGAGAATGTTAGTTCAAATACAATTAGTTACACTAAACCTCTAAGATATATGCATCTACTAATCTCATAACAGCTCTTTATATGAATTAAATAAATTATGTTAACTTGTATTATAACTCATATAATTAAAGTTATCAGCTCTCAGAAATAATCTCATCCAGCTGCCACCCCACTCTTGCATTGTACCAAAATTTGGTTCTTCCTGCCCCTTCATATGTACTAAACTCTATAGGATTCCAACATGGATGGAATGGTTAATGGGAATCTTTGGGTTTTAGCAAACCTGTGCTCTTTGGCAGTGGCATAGCGTGGGTTGTCAGCGCCCGGGCCAAGGCAAGTATTTTGCCCCCCTGCCCCAGGGACCGTTAGCACTCCAGACTGAAGGCACAGCAGAAAGCTTTGTGGATTGTGGTACTGAGGAGGGCATCATGGGCTGAGCCCTGTGAAAGGCTCTTTGCATTGTACATAGAAAGCTGGGGTTGTCCTGAAGCAACTGCCATGCAGTTGAATGCTTTGGTTTTTTTTTAAGTAAAAAAAAAATCAAGCACTGCTATGTGTTCTAACAACGCACCGCAGCGCATGTGCATAACGTACACCACAATATGGTGCATCATATTATTTTTATTTAATTATTCTTTATTTTTTTTATTTACTGTCAGGTGGCTTCAGAGAAATATTAGGGGTCTAAAAAGACCCCTGATATTTCCTTTTTGAAAAAGAAAAAGAAATTGAGGACGCAGAGTACTCAATCTCTTTTTCTACAGGTTCAGCACTGAATAAACAGGAGCACTTAGTACAGAGGCTACCTGTTCATTCAGAAACTGAGGAGGCATAGTACTCTTCCCGGTTATGAATGGACAGGAAGCCTCTGCTCCTGTCCATGCAGAAACTGAGTTAGTGATTACTCTGTCCCCCAGTCCTGAATGAACAAGAAGTGATGTGTTGCTTACTATTTGTACGAACACCTAGTGATTAGTACTGCTCACTCAGTGTTTACTCAGTACTCAGTACAGGGAAGGATCAGTAAATATTACACGTATTTGCTGATCCTCTGCTGGGCATCCTGAAGCTCCGCCAGACCCCACACAGCTCCGCTCTCCATCCTGACAGCCCTGGCATCCTGATCCTCCTGTCACTGCTCTCTTCTCCCCGCTGGGTGCCAGCAGCTGGATCGGCTCTTTGTCCCCTCTAATCCCCGCTGCCTCTGCTGATACAGGCGGGGGAGAGCAGTGGGAATTGGAGGGGACACAGACTGCAGCATGCAGCCAGCTCCCAGCGGGGAGGAGAGAGCTACAGAGCAGTGGCGACTTCCAACCCAAACTCGGGCCCCCCTGCTGATTTGATGGGGCCCGAGTTTGGGTTGTTTCTATATAAATGTAGATACGCGCTGTGGATGTAGTTAATATTCTAAACTCAATATGCAAATAAGCTGCTGTGCTCAGTGTATACAAACACTCATAAATATAAGCATAATAGGAATCCTAAATCAATATATAATATATGATATAATATCCCAATCAGTAATCACTTGATGTGTAAATATGCCAGTGTTTATCAATCTGTGATAGATGTTCAAATAATTAATATATAAAAACAAGCCACTGCCTTTAAAAAAAGTCTATGTGAGGAACACATTAAGGCAGGGCATGCTGATGTCATTACACATGCGGGACGAGAGGAGGATTGAATATTTGTCTTTAATTAAGTCACTTGATTTTATTTAAGCGGTCTGTCTAATTGCATTGGGGTGATGGCTTAATAAATAATTGATTATGGAGTATGGATGAACACAGGAGGAGTGGAGTAGAACCAGTAACAGTGGATTACACATGCTGGATTTGATTGTGACGGCTGGGATTCAGCACTGTTTTCAGAGTGTCATTGTGATCTGAGTGTACTATGAGAGCACAGTGGGAGAGTCACGTTTCAACAGGTCACCCATTGGAGTATTGTGGGTCGGTGTTGGATTGTTTTATTCACTGAAGGAAGATCATCACTGATTGTTTGATTAACACAATTGATGGGATGGACACTAGCATACTTGTATAATATGAAGTTTATATGAACAATTGCCACTATTTTATGGATATTTTGCATGCTTATGCATTAATTATTAGAACAGTTTTTTATATATTTATTATTTGCACTTCTATCACAGATTGATAAACACTGGGATATTTATACATCAAGTGATTACTGATTGGGAGATTATATCATATATTGATTTTGACTTAATTATTTGCTTTTTGTTTTGTTGGGCTGCTCACATTTGTCTAAATAATCATGCTGCATTCTTAAAAATGTCAGTTGGACTATGATAGGATTTGCCAAATGTTAGACAAATTGCCACTAAGTGCATGAGAGAAGAAACTGAAAAAACTTTGGAAAATGTGTGCTTAGTAAAAATAGAATTGCAAGGAAAAATTCTAATTGATATAAAAATGTATACTAGAATATGTGTGAATGGGCCCCAAAGTAGTACACGTGTAAAATGTATCATATATAGACCATGCAATATTACAAACTTAGCACTGGAGATACAAATAAACCTTAACCTGAAGATAAATGACTTGCAAATAGTAAACTGTATAACCTTTTAGTCAAACCTTGAATATAATGGTTTAAGAAAATTAGGTGTTCTTTTTAAATTATGTTATTTTTCAGGTTTATTCAGATACTAAGTCTGTACTACCTTGGTTTCCTCTTTTTCTTATTTTTCATTTCCTGTCGAACATTAACCAAATGTTTATTTTAATTTTTACACAAATAAAATATATTCTTATACATAAAATGTATAGATAAAATACAGTTCTTATACAATATATAACCTTTACATACTATTGCTTCATGAAAATCTGGCCAACACTTTAATATATATGGGCATATTTATAAACAATAGTACCTTCAAATATAAGTTTGACAACTAGAAATTATTAACACTCCATGTTTCTGTCAGAAACATCAGATCTATAAATATGCATTGTACACACAAATTGTACTTTAAACGAAAAATGAATCTGTATTATAAATGTAATACTCACCCCCATTTACCTGGCATACCCACAAAACTGCCACTAATGCAACCAGATGATCCATGTTACTCCAACATATGTGACCATGTCCTGAGAGCCTGGACATTTATAGCTATTCAGTAACTGTTTATATTACATAACTAACTGTTGTTTCTACCCACAATGAGCAAGATGCCACTACGCAAGCACAGAGGTCCAGGAACTGGAAATTAAGTATGTGGAAAAGCACAAGAAGTATAAAACAGAAAATGTGGGAATTGTTTTTATTTTTAGATTTACACTTTTTAATAGTTTTTCCTTGTAGGACTGTCCCTACCCTGGTCAAGCAAACACAGGAAGGGACAGCAATGTCATTTGTTTAAAAATATTTGCTCCTGTAAAGCATGCTGCAGCAAGGGGGGACCCAAATGGATTTTGTGGGGCCACCACTATTGGGAGACTCATCTCAATCCCCCTTTAGTACTCTCTGGCCTTTTCCTGTAAGTTTGTCCTCAAGGAAAAGAGGTAAAGGGCAAGCAGCAGCAAAAATCAAGCATACGGTTCTACAGCTATAGGCTGTCTGCCCTTCCCCAAAGTAAAGTTCTGAACCCTAAAGCAGCACTTGCCAAAACCCCACCATCTCTAGTAACAACTTTCCCATGCCAGGTTTTCTTTTCCTCGTGTAGCTGGACTGGAAGAAAAAAAATGTCACTAAACCACCCCTATACCTAGTGTCTGAATGCCAGATGCTTGGCACTTCAACTGCTTCCATACCAGCTTGTGAAAACTGCCCCCTTCCTCTAGTTCAGCGGTGGGAAACCGATGGCCCTCCAGCTGTGGTGAAACTACAAATCCCATAATGCATCTGTCTCTGGTAGTTATGCCTGTGGCTGTAAGAGTCTTTCAATACCTCATGGAATTTGTAGGGCCAGAGGTTCCCCACCCCTAAGGCCGCCGTCAGGGGGGTACGGCCGATACGGAAGTAAGGGGCCCTGCAGCACCTGAGGAAGCCGGGGTCAGCACACTCGAGATCCTCACCTGGGGTGCTCTCTCTGTGCGGGCCTCCGGTGTCCCCCTGTCTCCAGTCTGCCTCCACTGCAGTGACTGACTGCACATTACGTTTTTTTTTTTTAAATGAAATATTTTTATTGATTTTAACATAACATGACATTTTTGCTATGACAGTGGGTACAAGTGATTACAGCGTACAGCACGTGATGCAGGGGAGTACAGAATATATTGGGGGGGGCACGGCTCTAGAGTTAAACAAAATGACAATTATCGCAGGTGTAGTAGGTTCGCCCATCTAGATGATCGAGGTAGTGATAGGTTCCACCCGAATACTGAGGGGCCCGGTAAACATACAGGATTAAATAGGGGGAGTTGTTCCCACGTAAGATACTGCATAACAGGACCGCCAATTGAGGCACATTACGTTTTTAAAGATGGCCGGCGTGAGTAGCGGTGGCCATCTTTAAACCTGGCAAGTGCCCACATCTCATTTAATATATTGCCGAAACGGCAATATATTAAATTAAAATAATTCCCTGGTGGTCCAGTGGAGAATCAGTATGATCTGCATCTCTTGCTGATGCAGATCATACTGATCGCTCCCTCGTGGTGCCGTCAGTGACACAGGCAGGGATCGATTAGTAGGTATGCATCAGCCTTAGATGCAGATCACACTGATGCTACACTCCACCATTACTATAATCCCCATGTGTCACACTGGAATGCAGGCCCCCCTTCCTGCAAAACTGGTAAGCAGGAGAGGGGGACATTTTTTTATTAACTATTGTTATTAGTTGTGTGTGTATGTGTGTTTTTATTGTGTGTGATTTTTTTTGTTATTAATAAAGCTATGTGTGTGTGTGTTTAATGAGTGTGTGATATGTGTGTTTCATTATGTGTATGTGTGGTTTTTTTTTAACCACTTCCCGCGGGTTCATGTAAATGTACGTGCTCCGCTGGAAGTGGTTATACCAAAAATATGGCTGCTCCTTGTACCGTTTTAAGGCCTGTTCACACCACTTGCAGTGCGTTCAGGCCGGAACGCACTGCATCGCATTGCGGCCAGCTCACTTTTTTGCTGGGCTGGAGGGGGCGTGGTGGGCCATTGAAGTGAATGACACTGTAGCCACGCCCTCTGGCCACAATGCGATCGCCCGCACAGGATCGCAAGGCACATTGTGCCTGCAGTGCGTTCAGGTGCGGTGCGATTAACAAGCTGCAAGCACTATTTTGATCGCACCGCACCTAAATGCACTGCAGACACAATGTACCTTGCGATCCTGTGCGGGCAATCGCATTGCAGCCGGAGGGCATGGCTACCGTGCCATTCACTTCAATCGGACCGGAGCGCACTGCTTATGGTGTGAACTAACCCTAAGCCCTGCGTCCAGTAGACATGTGCGATTCGTTTCGGAAAAATTAGTTTTCAGGACGAAATCCGTTAGCGGTAGTCTGTACGCATTTTCGCTTGTGGACGAATTTTCATTGCAGCAAAGTGACCAAAAAAATTTTTTATGTCACTTTTTGCTGCAATTAAACGAACAATACGAACCTGAAACGGAAATGAACATTCGTACCGACTACCACTAACGAATTTCGTCCAAATCCCTAAAAACAAAATAACACACATATTTCCACTTTCCACCATTAGTTTTAGATGTTTGTAATTATTGAATTTCATTTTTCTATTTTTCTAAAATTTTTCCACCTAGGGCAATCAATGCTCTGGTCAAGCAAACAAAAGCAAAGATGACAAGACTGTAACTAAAATGCTTACAAGCGATGATTCCATGGACTACTGGGTGTCTAGGATGTCTACTGGCTGGAGCTGGCCCAAAGCTTGTGCTTAAGGTACTGGCCTGCCCTACTGCAGTGTCATGTCAGATAGGGCCTTCAGCACAGCAAGAGGGCCTTCAGCACAGCAAAAGAATTTGTGACTGAGAAGCTGACTTTCATTAAAATGAATCAGGCCTGGCTGTGAATGTTTGAATGTAAATAAACACACCACACTTTTGAAAAAGTATTTTATTAAAAAAAACAAAAGCCCCCTGAGGCATATCTATCATAAATTACATCATCCAGCGATGCAGAGCCTCGTGAAGTACGATGAATGGTGCCCATCAACCAGTTGAAAGAAAAAACGGTGACTGCACATCCACATCGGACTGCACGTCAAATCACAATCCACGGCTGAATGAAAACAAAGGGACTGGCAGCTGTATGATGTCATTGACCAAATATGATCAAAACCATAGTTCTAGCTAGCTCAGTTAATTGTTTAAAAAAAAATCTGTCTGTATTCCTAAATGCACAGAATATTACTGAATATTACTGAATATTGAGTTATAATAGGTATATTAAGCATCAGAGATTGTTGATCCAGGGAAGTCACAATCATATTAAGTTGATGACATCTCACAGGTTACCACAGCCGTCAGGCAGCAGGATACTGGTTGCTAAGACTCTGGTGTTGTGTAGACTCTGTGTAGCCTGCATGGCAGGAAGTATTCATTTTTCGGAGGTAGTAATACAGTCAATAAATAAATTACTTCCTGTTGCAGAAAAAAACCCCGTAAATACCAATATTAGGTTAAACCCTACATTGGACCAAAGCCTAACCTTGTCCCTGGTGGACACGTACTGTCATACTGAGGACCAATGTCAACCAAACCGTTCCTAATGGCTAGCTCTGACATTTTTGAAAAATTGTGTACATGGGGATACTGTGGTGAATCTAGAATGAGGGTGTGCAGTGTTTTTGCTTTTACATACTTTTTTGAAAGAAAACGCTACAGTGAGGTGTTGCAAAGAAAGGCAGCTCTTGAACAGACTATCAGCACCTGCTTGATGTGCTCTAATTACCCCAAACATAAAGATTTAATTAAAAAAAACAGCAAAAGGCCGCGATTAATAGAACATAAAGTAGTTGGGGCATTAACAGCTGTAGAGCTAGCAATCACCCCATTGTTGTGGCCAGATTTTGGTCCCTTAAGGAATTTTTGGGTGCAGGTAGAGAACTGTGAACACATGCAGGGCACATATAAGAATGTACCCCAGCCCTGCAATTCACAAGCAAAGTTTGTTAAAGTAGATGTAAACCCAACCAATATAAATTCAGCTTTAACATGTTAATGTCACTTGGAAATTCATTTAGTTATCGTTTCTTTTTTTGTTTTATCACTAACTTTGGAAAAAATAAATATATTGAAATGGATCTGAACCACAACTGGGTTCACACAAGATGTCTGCTGCTGTTTCTAATTATTTTGTGTACGGTGCACCGGAGAAATCACAAACTCAGAATTAACGGTCTATGAAGATTCTGCTTTATTCAGGGCGGTCTCTCTCCTTTATACACAGATAACAGGAGAGTGCTCGTCACACATATGCCCACCTCTGTTATTATACTATTGGGCAAACTAGAGGAACTGTTAGTTAAAGTCTCGTGTCTCTCGCTAATTGGTTAGTCAAAGATATCTTCTGCTTGTAGCGTCCTCCCTCGGCATTCCTCCGATGTGTCCTTGGCGCGCTCCCGAATACAGGATATCTCTCTTGGTTACGCATAGCAACGCTAAAAGCTGAGTAAGGAGAGTCACAAAGCTAGGAAGCAAATGAAACTAATTCAAAACAATTTAAAACATAGAAAAGGACATTTTCTTGATATGATCCATATTCCTTCACAATATGAAGGTACTTGTTTGGGCACTTTGTGTTATGGGATCACAAGCTTTTACCCGTTTATCCCTCAATCTCCTGCCAGTATATCATACTATCAAATGCTCTAAAAAAGGAAACCACAAGCTGCTGTGCTAATGCACATTGCACAGACATATTCCACTTTGTCACCATTTCGAAACATCTCCTGTAAAAAAAAACAACATGCAGGCATCAACAATTAAGAAAAAAAATACATGCAGCCTGTTATCACTAGAGTGCATGTAGACAGGGACAGAACAATCGAAGCACTGAGATGTAACAAAGGATAAAAAAAAAAGGTAAAAACCCTCCCTCATAGCCGGCGGGGTGGGGGGAGGACGGACAAGCAGGCTGCATACAAGTGATCTCAGCGACATTGCTG